GTACAGCCTATCACAGCTGAAAGAGGCCTTGGTGCCGGGAAGCGGAGGAGGTGGTGTGGCTCAGCCTGGGTGCCCGGGGCAGAGGACCATGCCATGAGAGGAGCCGGAGGGAGGCCATGGCAGAGCCGATGACTAGAGGACGAGACCCAACTGCCCTGGAGAGGGGAACGTGAGTTGCTGGGGAAAGCGGGTCTCACAGAGGAAGTGATTTCTGGGGAAGGGGATCCCACTGAGGAGCCAGTGAGTAAAGGCCACAGTCCCAGCACTGACCCAGAAGGAAGGGCACTGGGGCCCTATTGTTGCTGTCGAGAGTTTTGCTAGGGCCCGTGATTTTTGGGGAAAGGGAACCTCGCTTCCAGTGTGTCTATGCTTCCAGAACAGGGTGGGTGTGCACCTAATATTTTGGAGGTTGCACTGTATATTTTGTATACCATTTCTAACTGTACTGTTTATTGTTATGTCTTACCTGATATATATTCTTGTTTAGTTGTTACCTTTCCTGTGTGTTAACTTACCCTTCCACTGCTATGTTCTGCTTATTGTCCCAGTGGGTTCCTGGTTATTCACCTGCTGTGTTGACTTACCTGTGCTTACCTATTCCAGGATCCATTACTCCTCTTTACCTGGAGTAACTAGAGGACTCACCTTGCTTCTACTTATAGGGTTCCCCTGTTGGGTGTTGGTGCTGGGTGTGACACCCCAGTGGAGGGTCAGTTCCAAGACCATCATTTATTTTGGAGTATTGTTGATTGTCTATCCATTGTAAATATGTATTTTCATATTTCAGGTGTGTTTTTATATTTATATTATGAATCAATAAATTGTGTATAGTTAAGTAACATTTACCTGGCTTGGCTGTATAGAAGATAGAGGGATCTGAACCCAAGTGAATGCCTCCCTCTCACAGCACTATTGCCTTTCCACCTATCCCATCCTGCTGGGGACACGACACACCCTTGGGTGTACCCGGGTTACATTTACATTGCTTAAAAGTTTCAAAAAGGCCTTAGAAGTTTATGGAATCTAAGATGTCTTGGGTTCTATGTACACCTGTAGATGCAGGTCTAGAAAATACATGATGGAATGATTCACTGTTTAAAAATGTTGGGCTAGACTTTTTAAAGAATCTTGACTGGGAGCCCAGCTTCTATTGGACTGGAAGGGGATTTTGCTGTCCACTGCCCCCTTGGAAGTCCCATCATGTGTTTAAATCATAGGCTGTGGAGTCCAAGTGAGGGTTTCTAAGACCTTGATATGACATCATTTGTAAAGTAGCTTTGCCTTGTTTCTCCCAGGGGAAAAAAACAAAACAAAACATTTGAAGAATATTTTTGAGTTGTTGCTTTTGCACATTTTCCTTGTACTGCTTTTTTATTTATCCTTCATCCTGCTTTAAAAGAAAAACTCTTTCAGCACCATGAATCTAGCCCTACAAGCCTCAAAAGGGATGAAAAAATATAATTAAAAGGAGTATAGAAATCTTTAAAAATGACCTTCTCCATGTGTAATAATGCTGTAGTTTTACTGCAGGATCTCCCAGGACTAGCTGTAACTTCTGTGCTCCACTGGAACAAAGGCATCTCCATTTACTGGTAGCTTAATTATCCCAATTTCTGTCTCTGAAAGTCTGCAGAACACAGCATATTCTTGTCACTAGATCAGATTTAAACAGGTTGTGGACAAAGGTGATTTGGAGGGAGAAATTCTGCATTTGGGTTGGTAAAATAGGCAATGGGAAGCGAGGGAGATTCCTCTTGCAGACTATTTTTTTTCCTACTTTTCCTTTTTTTGTGGTGCCTGAAGCTATGTGGAATATTTGAGTAAATCCCAATGAGGATGGTTTAGTGGGCAAAATGTAGTCACAAGTGCATGACCTGTGGTTTTCCAAACTGTTTTTGTAATTTATGACATGGAAATGAACTCATCCATATCAGAGCCAGCATTTTCAGACCTGAGTGCATAAAGCTCAGGTAAGTGGGAACTCAGCACCTCTAGAAATCATAGAGAGAGGTAGGGCTGAAAGGGCCTGAAGTAGGGTCATCCCTATCCAAACCATCCTAATCTAACCTCTTAATAAAACTACTGCCCAACTTGACAAAGCACAAAACATAACACCATAACCTGCCATAGGTAAAGTGGGGGGGGGCATGTAAAAGTTTGTTAATATACTCTTAAAAGATCCCAGGTAGAGGGCCATTTGATCTGACCAGTTCTTTACATGCTTATATAGGGGCCTAAATGTTGGCCTCCAGTGTGAAAATTCTAGATTGTTTGTAGATAAATTTGGAAAGATGTAAATTAAACAGACTCATGTGCTTGTTTTAAAATTTAGAAGACCTGGAGCTTGTGGTCAAGATTTGCAAAATCAAGGGCTGACTTAGTGTCTCTGTTTGTGCATGCCCAAGTTTCACTGCTTTAACGGGCACTGATTTTTCTGAATTCAGGTGCTCAGCTTTTTCCAAAAATCAGATTTTTGTAAAAATCAGGATCTGAGGTTATTTGACCTGTAGACAAAGTTTTGTCCATGACCACATGCCATTCACCCTCTAAGGGTGCATCTACATATTACCCTACGCAACATACAGAGCACTATGGCGATGTAGTGATCACGTGAGCTCACACGTGATTGGCATTTATGGTGTGCCCCTCTCCCCCATATAATGTGCCACTATGATGATGTAATGGCAAAATCTAGCCAAGTGCCACACGCACAGTGCAGTATGGGCAGTTACTGCACTGTGCTTTAGTATTTCCAAAAGGAAGTACTAAAGCATGGTGTCATAGCATTGCATTGTAATGTAGATGCACCCTAATAAGCATAGAAGGGCTTTAGAGCTTACTCAAGGCGAGTGAAGATTTTATACTCTTAGTAGTGGTGTACCCTGGCAAATACAGCCAGAGGTTAATGGATGAAGTGCATTACTTCCTTAAGGGATGCACAAAATCTTGTGCCAGGCTCTCAGGCTTTTAAACTCAATGAGCCTTCCCATTCCATTTAGGTGTTGGGAGTGACTTTAAATCCTCCCACAACTAAACACAGTGCTCAAGAAAACTATACCTAAATCCAGGTCTTGCTCATATACCCCGTAGCAGGATGCACAAGTAAGACTGAAAATCTTAAGACGCATCCCTATCTTTCAGTCCTGCAGCACACCTGTTGAGACTCAGGCTAGCTAGAAATCTTTACTCTTGGCAAACAGGATGCCAAGCAAAGTGGAAATGTTCCCTAGCCAACCATGTTCACTGAGTCAATGTTTGTGTTGAGTATTTCTAATTCTTCTGGGCTATGCCATACCAAGAACCAAATGTTGCATTCTCCATGAGTTTCCTCTGCTCATTTTTAATTCCTAATTATATGGAAACAGCACAGCAGTGGTACCAAACCAATCTATTTATGAATATGAACTAAGAGAGACCCTGATTCTGGAAGGAATTTAAGTAAGGATCTGAGTCAATTCGCTTCTCCAAAAAAAAAAGATTTATGTGTGTGCTTGTGTGCCTTCCTAAACGTGGATCATTTTTCTGGATTGGGGCCAAAAGTAAATATGATGGCCCAAAATGTTTTGTCCTTCCTAAAAACATAGTTGGGGATTTGGAGGGAGGAAATATTAGCAAGAATCCATTGGAAAAGACTCCTCACAGCCCCTTCTCAAGAGTATAGGCTTTGCCTTCTAATAGGACATAATCTCAAGTCTAGAAGATGCCCAGAGATCTGTGCAAGTCTCCAGGGATCCAGAGGTTTCCAAGACAAATCACATGGAGATTCCAGCACCTGTCAAGTCTCCATCCCCTAGCTCTCTAGCAGAGGTGTAACAGGGCACCTCGGTGCCCAGGATGCTGCCCCAGTTGCCCTTCAGCCATTAGTTATGCTGCTTTCTTCTAACGCCCTTGTACCATTGCAGCCACAATCCCTGTAGCTCCCATTAGCCACACTAAAGTAGCAGTGCAGAGGGAACAAAAATTACAGCCTGGACTAATTTGCAAGGCCAGAGCAGATAACATCCATCCACTCCACCCTTTGTCTCCTCTACTTCAAGATGTGAATACACTGCAGTTAGTGAGGGGAGGCTGCAGTTCATGTAGGTAACATTGAGCCAGCTTTGTTGGCTAGCTTGGGTACCAATAACACCATAGCTACAACAGCATGGAGCTCTGTGTGAGTCTGAAAATCAACACATGACCCCAGGTATGGGTCCTCATATCAAATGCAGACCAGAAGTCTAAATGTTGAAAGTTTTTTGTAAACTGAAATTGCCCATGAAAAATACCAGTTTGGGCCATTTGAAAAATTTCAGTTGGGTAGCTTCTAGCAGTTTGGTTTCAGTATTGACCTTTTACATTGTATTTTATTTTTTTACCATAAGTGGCTTGAATTTCAAAAAGTCATTTCTGACTAAAAAAGGAATATTTCATATAAAAAAAAAATCAAGAGATTGTTTTGAAGACTTTTTTTTCCTCCCAAAATGAGAAGACTTTTGGAACAAAACGTTTCCTTGCAACCAGTTTCCACTTCAACCCCCACCAGCATTCTTCTGATTAGAAAGCCTGCCAAAACATTCCTGAGATGCACAAAGAGGCCTCTGCAAACTTTGTAAGAAAGTATGCTGCTGGGGTGACACTTGAATACCACTTTAGCATGTATAGAGGCATCTTCCTGCATCTAGGATGCTTGAATTGGTCCAAGAGGTGGACTGTTCTTAAGCTTTTAGAGAATGTGCCATTCACCTGTGGAAAAAGCCTGGCTTAATTCCTTGAACTGTCAACCCTGGGGATCAAACCCTGTTTCTACTACTAACCTCCAAAGTGACCTTGGGTGAATGACTTCTTTCTCTGCTTCTGGTTAAGTCAGGAGCAATTCTGACTGGAATCTGTCTCTCACTTTATGCAAGTATGGTGCCAAGCACAGCGTGGCCTTGATCTCAGCAGGGGCCTGTAGGCATTAATGCACCATTACTAATAATAAATTGCAAAAAGTGAATAAAGAATTGGCTGCAGAAATAAAAGCTATAACCTCAAATCATTTATGCTTCAACATTTTTAGATAAACCAGAGGTTCCTCTCTATTTTCCTGACACTAATAATTACAATAATAATAAAGTCCTTTTACAGCTAAATTATGAATCACTCATGTCCATTTTGGTTTCGGTGTGTAATTTTTTTTTCAGTCAAAGCAATTCCCTATGTCCATTCTGTAATATTTGGAAGCATTTTGACATTTCCAAAGGTGAGTGGACATCTGGAAAAATTATATCTTGTGGTACTATAATCTACTGCGCTTCGTGAAGAGACAATAAGTAACGCAAATGGGATTAAAGGCTGTTATTCTGGTTTGCTGTCTTTTAACTATGTCTTTAAAGATGTCTTTTAACTACCCTTGTATATTTAAAACTGTAATTGTCTATTTTAAAGATTTGCAGAATGAATAAAATGACTTGTTTTCTGAAAAGAAAATTGCACTGCAGAAAGATGATCATGCAAACAGTCTAGGGTGACAGCTGATAGTTAAATGGAAAATTAATTCTTCACAGTCAGTCAAGGCAGGAACCTCTTCCTCCAAAACAAGTGTGAGATTGCATAGGTGTCAGTACAGCATGGGACCACTGAGAGACTGCTGGACTAAGTGATGTGAAACTGTAAATAATCTATTCTCCCATACAGCCTGTAAATTTCAGCACAAGTGTAGGTGCTTGAATCCCTTGAGCGGTGTTCCTGGTACAGGAGTAACACCTGTGGTATGTGAGAAGGAGAATTCAAAGAGACAGTGGTCTTTCCTATCCAAGAGCAGAGGGGCTGGACCCGATGGTCTGTAAGGTCCCATCCAGCCTCTAACAACTATGCAACTATGAAAGTGTTCTCTAGTGACAAATGGTAAATCCTTGCACCCCTGTCTCAATTCCTTGTCTCAGTAACTTACAGTCTTCATCATCTTACAGTCTCCCCTAGAGAAGGTGAAGCAGGCCAAGAGCAAACCAGGGTATGAAATGGGCTCAGACTAGGTCTATTAGATTTTCTGCTGTAGGTGTGTCAGCAAGGGGCATGAACAGAGAGCACCCTGCCACTACATGGTGTCAAACTGCCAGCTGTGAGTGCAGCTCCGATGACAGAAGAGGGCTTTTTCCATTGTGCCATTCCAAGAGGTAAAGTAGTTACCCTATAGAAAACACTCTTTTGCCAGCATAAACTTTGTCTCCATTACAGGGTACTGTCAACATAGTGATGCCAGCACAGCTCAAACAGCATCAGCTCCAGATATGAACAACGGGTGCCCCCAGTGGCTGGGGGGGCACGGCAGTGGTGGGAGCGTGGCAGGAGCGCGGTGGTGGTAAGTGGGGGAGCTCCCACAGACGCCACCAGAACTGGCGATGGTGGAAAGGGGGGTGGCGAATGCCAACCAGGGGTCAACAACTACCCACAGGCACTGCCAGCAGCATTGGCAGCATGTAGTGGGGATGGCGGACCACCGACAGGTGGTTTCAGTGGTGGAGTGGTGAGCAGCAACCCCCCGCAGGCACCGCCGACAGTGTCGGCAGTGCCTTTTTCTAGGGGGTGCACTGCCACACTCAGTGGGTGCACGTACACCTGCCTGCACCCCCTGCACATTGCACCTGGCTCCAGAATTTAAAGCAAAGTTCCCACTCCTTCCCTGTCACTCTACTTGCCCAGGAGGATGTGGGACAATGCTAAACTGGCTACTCTAGCGAGTGGGGTAGAAGAAGGACTGGGACTTTTTTCACACCCCATCCCCTTCCTGTCTACTTTCCTTCCAGCAAGGAACATGAGGTGGACAGCTCCTGGTCTCTGCCTCACTCTGGCCAGAATCTCAATCTGAGGAGGCAGAGGGTAGGGCATGGTTCTGGTTGACTTCAGACCAGCATAGCTAACAAACTCTTTCATCTAAGGAGGGCAACACAAAGGACTATGCACTCACTGACTTCCCTGGGAGCTGCAGTACTTTGGAAGTCAGGCCATACCAGTGAACACCTAGGTTGAGATGTGGGATCTATCTTAAGGCTGCTATTTTAAAACAAAAACTTGGTCTAAGTTTATTGCTATAACTCTTGAGCCTCCTCTGTCTGGGAGCGTGGGCAGGACTGACTGAAAATAACAGCCAACCCTTAGTAATAAATATGTCAATTTTATAAGTTTTGCTTGTGGACAATTAATTAAAACCAGGTTGCATAAGACTTCTCAACAGACACCCTGTTTAAGAACCAAACACATATAATAGGCTAGATCTTTAACTGGTCCAAATGAGTGTAGCTCCATGAATGTCAAGAAAGTAAACCCCAGTCCGACTAGATGATCTGGCCCAATACCTATAGAAAAATTGTGTTCAAATAATCGGAGATGCAAGGATTTCTTAGGGTGACATCTTTCGTGCATCAGCTATGTAGTTGGGTTTAGTTAGACAAACTTTTGAATGCAAGACAATTTTGTTAGATCTTTCCCTGATGAAGTTCTGCCCTGAGAGACCAGGTAAAGAAAGTCTTGCATTCAAAAGTTTGTCTAACATTATCCCAGCTACATTGTTGGTCCAGCAAAATATATCACACTAAGAAATCCTTCTCTCACCTAATTTCTGAATTATGATGGCTACAATACCACTGTTACACTCCTGTTCAAGTAATGCTCATATCTCTGCTTCATTCTTATATAGACTTTAGTGTAGTACCTGAATAGCCCACATTTAATGTAAATAGCCTCACAGCTCTCCAGTAAGGGAGAGATTAACTCTTTTTTACAGGTAGGGGAATTGAGTGACAGAGAGATGAAGGTCACACAAGAAGCCTGTGGTAGAATAGCAACTTGAACTCAGGTCACACAAGCATCACGCCAGACAAAGATGTAGTAAATTCTTTTGGCACTGTTGAACTTAGAAAGTGGGTTTTAAACCTAGTGCTCTAAGAATTGCCACAACACTTGGTTGATGAATACCAGAAAGGCTTGCTTTCAGAACTACCAACAAGCTACAAAACTAAATGACAGAAAAAAGATTCTTTCTCAGTATAAAATGAGCTATTAGTCCTTGTATTATCTTAGCTGCAAAGAGATCTTTACCCTGTGCAAGCAGGAAGCAGTTCTTGTACAGCCTCACAGCGTGGATCCTTCACTTATCAGCTGGGTGGCAGGATTGCTTCTTGGTCTTCCCTGCACTACACACACCTTGCTGGCACATCTGTGCAGTTCTTATACTGTTTAATTGTATAGCTTCAAAGCATTTTCCCTTGCTAATTAGCTGATAAAAGTCCAAGCAAAACAGGGAGGAAAACGGTGACCCCCATATTACAATTGTTAAATTGCCTGACTCCTGTTTTTGGATTTGTCTAGGTGTGAAGACTTGTGTTTTTCTGCAGGTCCTGCAATTATAGGTCAGTTACAGGTGATGGGTCTTGAGTGGTCAAACCAGGATACTTAGAGGCATTGGTACCAGACCTGTCTTTGGGTTTTTGTTTATCAATAGGGCAAATTTACAATAGCTTGTACCGGTGATAGTCTATTTACAAAACTCCAGACATATATTGAATGATTGAGACATTTGTAACACCTTAGACATTGGATTCCTGTTTTGAGAAATGTGAGCATGTCATGTGCAGGACATCTTTCATGTACCTTTTACAGGTTTCTCTTGAAATGAATATTTAGTCTTTTGTTTTCTTTAGCTTCTAGTTCAATTGAAGTGCATATGTAGTTTCCTTGCCTTCTCTAGTTATACTGGCTTAGCCTTTTCTTTGGCTTTCTTAGCTTGGAAATATACATGTGATGAGTGGTTCAGGTCTCTGCCAAAAATTTTAACCATCATTTTTATTATTTTATGGTATGCGTCTGGCATTGGGTACTGCAAGTACTCCACTGTCTTGACACCTAATGGGTTGCAAGCCATTAGCTGAGTTTGATTTCTTGTGGCTGTCTTGTTACCAGGACCCAGTCTTGCCCCCACCATTGTCTTGCATTTTTGTGTAAGAGACATTGTCCAAGCTTTCACAGATTTTATAAGCAGCAGGTACCCTGGGCAGAATGCATGTTATGGGGGGTGGGGATGTTATGCTAACAGCTGGAGGCAAATTGGGGAAGGGGAGCAGTCTTACTGCCCACAGCCTGTGCTCTTCACCCTCTGCTGTCATCTGCTGCTGTTGCAGTTGCAGTTGCTGCTGTGACAGTGTGGGCTTGGGCTATTGCAGCTGCAGGTTGGTTCAACACACACTTGCTGCAACAGCCCTGCAGTACGAGTTCCTCAGGGCCTTCCAATCTGGCACCCCACTAAATTGATGCCTGCGGACAATGACCCATTTACCCACCCTTAGGCACATTACTGATTCCAAATGCCCTAATCACTAAACCCTCCCTCATCTTAGCTAGCCAGCTTTGCAGTGGAGAGTGGAATCTTCTCTTCGTTTGGAAATAATGGGAGTTAGCCTTACTGTGCAACTGGAAGAAAAAAAGGACCCTTTTGAAATATTACACACACGCACACCAAGAATGTTAAAAATGCCATGATTCATACCACTTTTGGCACCTGGTTTTAACTTGTCAACAAAAGACTGACATAGATGGTGTGTTGCATGCCTGTGCCTAAGCAATGATCTGAATGCAGATCATGGATTTTGACTGCAGATGTTAAAAGCGCACCATTCCTAACAGATGTATAATCTGATTAAATATGCAATGCAATGATATTGTCAAAACCCATTAATCACTCTTTCAGGACACATTAGTGTAGGCTTTACTGACAGCTGTGATGATTATACCGTCTGTGCAGGTACTGTTGCTCATCAAAGATACCCATTGGGTCTCAAAGAGGAGAAGATCTACAGTATGCAAAATGTACTTAAAATGCAGCATGCGGATATTTCTGTCATCAGAGACAGTCTATATATGACTTACACTTTGGCAACCTTCACTGGGTTATCATTCTGATTTTATTTTAACCCTCCACTTCACAGTCCAGTAGGCAGCTGCATTGGGACCAGTGAAAAAGGAACAAATTTTGATATAAACCACAAGTCTGGCTGTGCTATGAATTAGAATATAGTTCCATGAGTGACAGCTCTAGGAATTCCTAAAAGAACTAGGGCAAAGCCCTTTGTTCCTTCCAGTTGCTAACTACTATTGATCACTTAGGGCCTGAGTCCACAGTGTGCCGAGCACCTGCCAGCCACTTGAACCCACAGGATTAGGTTGTAAATCAATGGGCCAAAAGGTTTAAAAATAGATGCCAAAAGTTAGACCGCTGTGCCCAGAGAGTAGGCAATGTAGTTAGCAGAGCCCATGCTACCCCTCTTGTGAAAGCTCTTTTCTGCAACATGAAATAATTTAGCTTCATTGGGCCAGAGAGAGGAAGAGCAAGAGCAAGTGGAGGAGCACAGTTCTCTCAATCAGTGAAAAGAGCACTCACTTCGTACAGGGGAGCCATGGGTTACAACCCTTGCTTTATTGGCCATGCATATAATTTATATTAAACCATCATTGGCTGAAATGGATGAACAGCTGTGGGAGTAGCGCCTGAAATACTGGTGCCTGCACCCCACTACTTCCAATTGCTTCAAGCTCTATGCTAAGAAGCCATCTTCACGCTGTCTGTGTCTCAGTGAATCTTCAGAGGGAGGAAAGCAGAGGATTCTGGCCTGGTGGCTGGGGCACTTTTGGAGCACTTTCTGAGAGGTGCAGGGTGCAGCTAGAATCCACTCAGATGGATGAGAATATTGAACATGCATCTACCAAATCCTGGCAGTGTGAATGAAGAAAGAGCAAGGGCATCTCCTGCTCTATTAGTCACAGTTTGAAAGAAAGATATTTACCTGCAGAAGTGGGTTCTAGGACATGAATCCTGGGTATAGAGAAGCTCCTTTAACACCTAAAAAGATGTGAGATTTAAGATACACTCTGTTCATCAGCACTTATTGTAAAACGTTTAGTATGCTGTTTTTTAGAGATCCTAGTCTGAGGCACTTAGTTGAAGCCAGGCACCATATGGGAAGCCTAGGTGCCAAATTGAGAGCTGTGGATTTTACTGCCTAAGCCAGATGCCTGAAAGTTAGGCACTGGACCTCTGCGTAGATGGAACAGGGGCCCTAAATTGAAGTGGTGGGTTTTAAAAAACATTGCTTCAATTTAGGGCTGATTAAACCCCCGTGTCATGCACACACCCCGCTGACTTACCTGCCTCTCTGGCAGGGAGGGGAGGGTGAGCTGCTCGTGGGCGGAGCGGTCCCTGGGCTGGTGGGGGGGAGGGGAGGCTGGTACTTCCCTCCGTGGCAGCGGTGCCCCTCCCCAGGCAGCCTCCGCCAACAGGCACCCAGCTCAGGCGGTCCCAGGGGGCACCACAGCCACGAAGGGAAGCACCAGGTCCCCGCACAGCTCAGGCAGGCAGGCAGGCTTGGTGGGGGCAAGATCAGGCCCATCACTTTTCTTGAGCGGAGCTGCTTTCCCAGGCTGCTGCCAGGCTGTCTGCATGGGCTTCCTGCAGAGCCATGGACCTGCACATAGCCTGGTGCTTCACTCCACAGCTGTAGGGGCAGCAAACTAAAACTCCTCAAAGGAGTTATAGTTTGCTGCACCCCAAGTCATTTAAGGCGCATTACGCCACCAAATTTTCTATAGCAGCTGTAATGAATTCACAATACACTGCTGAGGCTTGCAACACTGACACCATTAAAGCAGTGCAAAAGCATTTAGCCCACTTTAAAATGTTGCCTCTCATTTCATCTACACACAGCCTGAGATGCTAAGTATTGTAGCATCTTTATGGAGCCGTTTATTGATCTGCAAGTAGACAAGCCTCTCACTTCTTTCCTAGGATCTTTGCTTTAATTTAGAAAAAGAAGAAGAAAAGCAGTTATGATTGTGAAAAAAAGCCCTTCCAAATGTGACCCAAATCTGACTGACACAGCAATGCCTGATACAGCATGCAGAAAGACTGAAACAAAAGGTACGAGATGTGTTGTTCCATTTGTTTAAAAAAGAACTAACTTACATGCCAGCAACAACACTTCAGTGGCAACATTGTGCTCATCAACTAGCAGAAGAAAGTAGAGGAATCTTTGGGTAGGGGGAAGAGGGAAGAGGAATGAAAGACTAACTGGGATTGGCAGAGAGATGTAATATTTAGCAGACCTTTTAATGCCAACCTCAGGGCAGGGCTGCAGGGGGATCGGATTGGCTTCCTTTTCTTCAAGGAGGCATTTACCATTCAGAAGTGAAGGCAATGCTGCTATAGGACCAGGACCCTTCAAAGCATTCACCAGCAGCCCTCACTTTTCCCAAAACATCTGTTGTGAATGTCTGGCCCAATATGAACCAATAAAAGCTTTGCCACGATTTTAGTGGGGCCATGATTTTTGTCCTTCTCTTGTACTATTTCACCCTCTCCAGATGGCAACCTTAATTCTCATTTCTCACCCCAAGAAGGTTTTCATGGCTTTGAAATGTATATGAGAATGTATACTGGCTCAGACCTGCTCCAGACCTGCATATATTCCCTTACATCTGTGTATATTTACCTCTGTTTGCCTACCTACTTCTTACTTTAGCTTCTCTCAGTTTGTCCTACTAAGTCTTTTAACAGTCTAAGACAGTCTTGGGCACTGTGCATCACACACCCAGAGCCTGGAAGACAGGAGAATAGCACAAAAAGGAATGAACAGGACTGGTATGAATGTGTAAATCAAAGTGGCTACTCTCTTACCACTGTTTCTCACTCCTGGCATGTATATTATTCCCTTATAGACTCCCTTATGCTGCATAGGTAGGTCTCAAGGAGACTCTAACATACACCACCTTACAAATCTCCTCTGTTTTTGGCCCCCTGTGCCATTAATGCACCTAGTATTATTAACTAACTGCTGCCAAAGACATCTCCCCTAAGGCGCATTATACACTAGGCTGTATTTCTACATCTGCACTTGGGTTGTGTTTTTTAAGGAGAAGAATTTATTTGGCTCCAACCTTGTTATACAACTGCCTAGACCTTTGAATTATTTATTTTGGCCTGAGTATAAGATGAATAGCTGCTCTCAGGCCCAGCAGGCATTAAAAATATCAACAGGAGGCATCCATTGGTAATGCTTCAACTAGAGGAAGATGGAGAAAGCTCCCATTGATTGACACAAGAAGGGAGAACATACTC